TTGATTATGAGAAGGGCTGAGCATCTTGAAACTCCCCCACAGCAGGTCTGAACCTGGCCAAACAGATTTGGTCTGACCTCAGCTTCAGAGCTTATTCAGCAGGCAAAGCCTGGCTCTGCTGAGGTCCTCCAGGAAGGAGCTGGACTAGTAAGAATTTTATTCAGACCAGAGTTAAATGCTCTCACACTTCAGTGTCCTCTCTCTTGTCCTGGACTTTTTTACCCTTTGAGAGTTCAGCTTCTCAGTCAAGAAAAATCTCTTTCTATACATGTCAACAAATAAACTGAGAAAATTTCTTTCAGGCTGTCATCTGTGTGATACGGGGAAGGAAAGACTGATCCTAGAGTAGCAGTAGCAGACACCAACTGCAAATCTCAGGAAAAGAGCTATAAGCAACTAGGGCATCTGTTGATAATTAGTTAATGCTTGTTATGTTTGCTCTGGGCTTTTCATTTCTGTTGACTGGCTATGAATTTTCTGCACTATCACTGCTTGTTTACAGTACAGCACCTAACTTAGGCAATGAATCAGTTTTAAGAGACTCTGCTAATGTCCCTTTGACATCCAAAGAGGCCAGTTAAGTGGCTCTGCCTCTAAGTATTTCACAAGAGCTGAGAGAAGGAAACAGAACGAATCTTCTTCTATATGTCTGCAGCCTGCAGTGCATATGAGAGAATCAGAGCTGGAAATAACTTAAAAGGTGACTTAGAAAATGAACAGCTTTAGAATAACCAGCTTCAAAAAGCAAGTTTAAAAGAAATGTATATAAAAACACAATCTGTACAATGTTAGGGCCAACTTCCATAAAATACCTAACAAATCCCTTACGCACAGAGTGCCCTTCTCTGGACCTGTACAACATCGATTTTCTGTACATGAGACCATTTCTGTCTTGTCAGATATCCCAGATGAATTCGTACTGTAGGATACTGCCTTGGCTTTTGAGAATTACACTGTTACTGTCAGCCCCAGGCATATCTATCCAAGAAAGCAATGTCAATATAATAGAGAATAAATGACATAACTGTGAATTACAAAAAGAATAATTCATAGGTAATTTTCAATTACAGAGAATAATTTATAGGCGCCTGATTTGCAAAGAGAATAATTTATGAGTAACCTGAATTGCATATAAAGCGCATTACAGGTTACTGTAAGAAAGGGAGTATACCGACTGCTCAGCTGTCACGTGCTGAGAATGGATTTTGGGGGCATTTCCTGTGAAAATACCCACCATGAAAAAAAAAAAAGCTGTCAAATTCCATTTACTGTGGATTTTAGTAATATGCCCAATCTAATCTGAAACCCAGAAGCCAACACTGCCTGTGTTGGTGCTCCCGCCTCACATCCTGGACCAAAGCAGAAAGACCACAACTGGGTTCCTACAACATAATCATTGGAAAAGCCTGTCCCCGAGGGTGGACAAGGAGCCATGTGCCAAAACCTTTGGGTTACATGTCTCTCCACTACACTGCATGGATGTGGTGATGAATAATACGAAACTTCTGAATAACAGAAAAGAGAGGGAGGTCTCCAGAAGCTGGATTAGGATTCCCAGCATGTGCTAGCTCCTTCCCTGCCCTGCTTGGGACCCTGTGGGTGCCAGGGGGGCACAGGCTCAGGTTTCGTACCACATAGACGGGCATCGCTCCGTCGTGTGATCCAGTACAGGTACTCCTCGTTTTGGAAAAATTACACTAGCAAATGGCTGCAAGATGAAAAGACAAAATGCAGATTGGGAATAAGATGGGTTTTTTTCTAATGGTAAAAGTAGAAAATGGCACATCAGTGGACGTGGTGAGTGTCTCCACTTGCAGCAGATCTTTAAATTGCTTAAAGCATTTCCTCCAGTACAGCTACAAGTTATTGGCTTTTTAAATAAAAAGAGTTACTTTTCCCTCTTCAGGATCTTGCTAGTCAAGTCTTATGGCTTGTCATTAAACAAGAGGTCAAATTAGCTGCTTTTTTTCTTTAAAGACAATATGTCTCCTTCCTATGTACCTGAAGGGAAGAAGGCGGCATCAGTGCTTCCGCTTCTTCATCACTACCTTGGCATCTTAAAAACTGAGGGGGGAAAAATACCCAGGCAAAAGTCCTGCATCAGGGAGTTATACAAGGCACCTTTGACACAAGAGCTAAAAATTACAAAGCCCTCTTCTACTACTTCAGTCAATGAAACACTATACCCACATATAAGAATAGCACAGATAACATCTACTATAGTTAATATTGTAAAACGCTTTCTTTTTTAAACTGCTGAGGATGTCCATAAAAATCTTCTGAAGCATTAATTCAGTGAAGTATTTTAGAAAAGTTAGTTAAAGAGAAGCAATCGTGATGGATTTGGAGAACACAGTGGGCTGCTGCTCTTCTGTCAGAAGTGAAGCCAGAGTCTCCAGGAGAAGGAGGCACGTGTTGTGCTGGACTGCTCATTCCAAGTGAATTCCTGTGCTCGAGCTTCCAGACCACGAAAGCGTAATCTCAGACATCCTTGGGCATGGTGGGCATTCACAAAACAGCCATGGTCATAGCTGGGAACGTCTGGAGCTGGCTGAATGTCCCCTTTTACGACGCCTTGGGAAACAATGTATGTCCCATAGCGTTGGGTACACACTATATTCCATGAGAGAGCCTGGGGGAACACACGCTAAAAGACTGAGCTCATTGTATCTGCTGTTGCATACATCCCATTTAGAAAAGAAAAATCCATTCATTTTTCTAACCAGCTCTTCCTCCCCCAGACCCACACTCCACTTATTGCCAGGAAGTGCTGATCAAAGTGGCTTCTGCTTCTCAGAAACCTTGTTTGGCTCTCAACCTGGACCAAGTGTAAAGTCTCTCCTTGACTTCCCTGGAAGCAGCTGGCTGTCAGGAGCTCACAGGATCACATCCTCAGTCATTGCAATATTGCTAATAGTTTCTGAGTGCAAGTTCTGCATGTGACTGGAAAAATGATGCTTGTATATGAAGTTTCTGCAGAACAAGTGAAATCTTGCCCTTAGGAAAAAGCAAATCTTCACCCTAGCTCAAGGCAAAACTCCTGATGACCTGGTGGGGTCAGACTCTAACAAATCTGGACGCAAGTCTGAAGGATAGAGATTTGGGTGACAAAGCGCAGAACAACCTCATGTAAACTCTTGTTGGTACCTGTGAAAATTAACAGAAGCCATTTGGATATTTGGGGGGGGGGCAATAGGGAGAAAAACCCAAGAAGGTATTGCAGATTTTCTTTCTAAACTTTCATTTAGGACCCTTGTTCCACTTCAGATCTCACTGTGCTGGCTGCCGTCAGCCTTTAATGCTAGCAAAATACAAAGCTTGCAGAAATGAAAGAAAACTGCTTACCCACTCCCTCTCATAGGCTGTATACCCTTAGCACCAAAAAAAGATCATGTAAAACAAGTCTTTTTAAAGGACTGCTTATACATGGATTTACGTTCCCAAGGGTTAGCTGTAAAGAAATTCAGTGTTAATTTTAATGGGCTGCCACCTTTCTCCTACAGTGAGAAATACCAGACTTGCCTCTGCATAACTGAGAGAAGACTTTGGTTCATGTTGGTACTATTTTTTAAATACTGAATTTCCTTGTTATATTGATGACCTCAAGGGGCACTGCATGTCACTTAACTGACAGAGCTAGGCTGCAGACCTACTTAAGTTACAGACTTAACCAGTTCCTCCCAAAACTACTCACTTCTTTTTTTCTGTGATTGAAAGAGGCTGTGATGGTGATGGTCAGCAGCTGATACATTTGCTTATCCACCCACAAGACTTATCTGGTTGCTTTTAAGTTAGTATTAACTTGCCTAATAGCAGATAGTACTTATTCCTAGAAACCTTGTGCTTTTGTGCGTCTATGCCTGTGTACTTGTCATTCTGCTGGAACAGGCTCACCCACAGTAAGCAACTTTGCCCCAAGTACTGCTTCAAAATATTCTAGTCCTACTTGGCAAAAAAGGAATGTCTCTGGAGAAATCCAGGCATAGGTTAGCCACAGAAGTTGTACTTTTTTTCTTTTTCATCCCTTTCTCCAAGACATCTACTGGAATCTCCCTAAGTGCAGGAACTGTAATGGGAAATATGTGCTTGACTTCTGCAGCTTTGGAAAATGCTGGCCTTAGAAAGGACCCTGGAGAGGATATTTCTGGGATGCTCTGAATTAATTTCTTTCTGCTGCAGGCTTTCATTTGCTCTTTATTTACCACTTTACATCATCACCAGCATTCTTGATGCTAACACGGTGTGACATGAAGCTATTCATGAAATAACATGATGGCAGTGGGCCCGTACATGTCTCGCTAGAGAGGCAGCACCAGCAAACCCGAGTGTCACCCACCAAGTCCCAGCTGGGGATCAGGCTGGGCAGACCTTCCCACATCCTGCAGCCTGACAACAGTGCTGAGAGCTGGCAGATGCCCTGGGTCCGTACCTAAGAGTGAGGATTAAAAGCTGTTAAAAGAAATTGTCAGCAGTGAACAGCAGCCTTCACTGGTATAAGTAATTCAGAAGTTAAGGCTTTTAATAGCTCAGTAAATAAAGTCCAAGATCTACCTGCTTAGCTGCCACAGCGGCATGCCTTTGAGAGCCCCAAGGAGTTTGCTGCAAGCCAAAAAGAAGCACCACTTTTCAACATCATATAAAGATCACTGCAGCCAGTTGCACAACACACAGAGGTATTTCCCATGTTATTTGGACTTCAGGAAAAAAAATTTTTTTAAAAAAATCAAACTATCTGATTTAATCTAGGCATCTGGTAGCAATAATGGGGCTATGCATTCTTGAGCACCATCTACTGGTGCGTTGGCCATAAACATAACGTAGAGCACCCTGTAACAGCTACTCTCACTCATTGCCAGCACTAGGTACGGCATTTAGAAGCTCCCAGTCAAACCTTACAGCTGGGATCTTGGGGCAAACTGCTTTGAGAGGAAAGCATGAGAAGGTTTCCAGGTCCCTCACGAGGCTGTGTGCTGATGGCTGTATCCCCTCCCGCAGGCAGTGCCACAGCCGGTGGGTGTCTCCACGATGCTGCAGTGCAAACACGCTCAGGAATTCAGCTTCGGGCCCCGGGCTCTGAAGGATGCGTTGATCTCCACCAACCCAGCCCTACAGGAGCTCTATGCCAAAGCTTTCTCCAGCGCAGAGAAGTTGTTCCTCTCTGAAGCCTACAACCCACAGAGGACCCTCTTCTGCACGCTGCTCATCCGGACGGCTTTTGACTGGCTCCTCAGCCACCCCGATGCCCCTGAGGACTTTGAGACGTTCTATCACGCCATGCTGAGGAGGAAGCAGAACTTCTATCGAAAACACATTTACCTGCAGCCGATAGGTAACATGGGCATCTTCACTGAGCCACCTGGAAGGATACGGGAGGGAGGTGGGTGGTGCTGAACGCCTCTAACCTCCTCTTCTAAGCACTGAGCTGCAAAATGCAGTTGCCACAGCAAAGATAAATGAAATACCAAAGGCTCTGACAGGCCGCCGTGCAGAGTCACAAGCCGTGATGACAACCATCAGTAGACCTGACCTGTAAATGGTGTGTGTGCCCTGGGTGAGACTTGCTAGCATTATATGTATGCACACAGGCACATATGTATCTATTTGTAAACCAGTGCTGGATAAAACAGCGCTTCTGGAGCTCCATCCCTGATGGTTCATCAAACAGAGTCACCCGTTCCCACGTTAACCTTTCTGCACAACTTAAATAGGAGACAACCTTCCCAGCACATCTGCTCTGCTCATGAGAGAGCATACTAATGCCTCGAGCCACCTGTCAGAAATAGCCCCCTCTTCTCCTCCCTATCTGTATAACCATCTAGAGATGTCCACCACATCCCAGAATAAGCAATTCCGAATGCACCGTCCTCCCTCTCCCTCAGTTGCTGTGGCCAGCCCCACAAAACCCTTTCAGATCCAATGGATCACCATGGCTTTAAAGAACTGATAACAGAACTTCTTTCCTTAGACTTAATTGAAGGGCCTGCTGGGCTCTCGCTGCTGGATTCCCTCCAGAGCTGTGTTGAGTCTTTCTTCCTGGGTCTCCGTGTGAAGTGCCTTCCGTCCATCCCCATCTCTTCCATTCACTGCTGCTACCGCCACAGCCGGGACTCGGACAAGGTGCAGCTTCACGCAGGTAAGGACCTGGGAGCAGGGAGCCCGCAGAGACACCAGATTGGGACATGGGCACGAGCCCTCCTGTGGGAAATGGCTCAAACAGCCCTGCATTGCCTGAGCAGGGAGGGGATGAGGAAGGGAGTGGAAAGGGAGAAATCCTGTTCCCATGGAAAACCCAGAACTTTGGGGCTGGAAACAGGAGAAAAAAAACAAAAGCGACTTTCATCATATTTTCCTCTGCTGTTTGTATTTTTCAGTGCTATGACATTTAGGTGCAGCTCTGCGAAGTGATCGGCTGAGCTCCGCGGGAAGGCACTGTTGTTTTGGTGCAGTCAGAGCTCTCCCATCGCTTGTCCAGAGCCAAAGTAAATTAGTGGCCTGGGCGGCGCAGGTGGGAAACTCGCTGGCCTTTCTCGTTAGGAAATTTGGGTTCAAGTGTCACACAGCTCCCCAGGGAAATGCTTTTGTCAGCTGCCAAGCTTGCACTGCACAAACACCCATCTGGGGCAAGCTGTTTGCAGCTACCATGGGCAGCCTGGGCTCAGTGCTGCAGCAATGTGGTCTGAAATGGCTGTATGGAAATTCTTCTACTTCTAGGTGCTTATTTTCATGGGTTAGTACCCAATTCACCTACATCTCTGCCCTTAGCTCTGCTTTAACTCTGTGCTCAGCACCACTTCCAAAGACAGGTCTGCCCATATTCCAATTTGAGGGCGTGGGCTACACAGCCACAGTTCTCCATCTAAGATGCTGAATCCAGCGGCTCTGCCTGTCCGTGGCTTGGATTACATCCTCCTCCCCCTGAGCAGCAGCAATTTCAGCTCTTGCATGCTTTCCAGGGATGCTTCATTTTAATGAATCTCTGTCTTGCGTTTATCCAGATGGGATCCTGAATTTCCTGAAGAACAATAAGCCCATGGATGCCCTGTGTGTCCTTGGACTCACTCTGCTGGACCTTTACCCATGTGAGACCTGGAGCTTCACGTTCAGCAAATTCCTGCCAGGACAAGGTGGGATCAGTGTCCTATGATCTCCTAGCACAGCACGTGAATAAGGCAGCACTGTTCCCAAAAAGCTGTCCATGAGAGACTAGAAGAGCCAAATCTAACGCTTAACATTTTATTCACTCCCTGATAAGAGGAACTAGTGTTTCCCAATTTGAAATTAGCAGAGTGAGGACTTCTACTTCAGACAAAGGTAACTGAGGTGTCACAGACCTTTTGGGAAGCACATCTCATCACACCTTGTGTGCTCAGCTGGACTGTGCCGGAACAGCTTTCTTTTCACGCTGCCTAAGTTGAGAGACAGTCACAGAGGAGCTGATGCCTAACTCATATGCACTTCTCTTTACAGAAGTTGGAGTCTGCAGCTTTGCCAGATTTTCTGGGGATTTTCCCCAGGCTGGTTGTACCAGCTTGAATCCACTCACACAGAAGGAACAGTTGTGTGAAGTCAGCAAGGAAAGCAGAGACCGGCCCTTCAGTGCCCAAGAGATGGTCCAGTGCTGCAAGGTAGGACCAGCAGCCTCCCGCACCCCCAGTTTCTGGCCACGTAGGGTTAAATATTTCAGGCCTAGGCTTTAATGCCTCAAATCCAGTGAAGCCGACATGAGACTCTGCTCCTAGAATCACAGCAAAGGCCACACACCTAATGCAGTCCTACAGAGCCTGTATTTTAATGCACCACATAGACAACTTACTGCCTTTGCCACTGGAGCAAACTCTAGCATCAGCTGTACGGTGAAGCTACAGGGTTTATGTCATGGAGCAACACCAAGGCAAAAACCCTGCCAGCTCCCAGGCTCATGCTTGGGTAATCTGAGTATTTTGCTTGTCAGGCAATGCACGGGCAGATGGATCTGTTGGCTGATAAAGTATGTGGAGGTTCATCAGAATATCTAGTGGAGCTGTGTGTTAACTAATGGATGGCTGGAAAGGGGTGACTGTGTCTTCCTGAGATATTGGCATCCATCAGGGCAGAGGACCCTGCCAAACCTGTTTACATGGGTAGATGAGAAAAATACCTCAGACAAGCTTGCACATATGTTTATATGCAGATGCCCTTGAACTTCATTCATCTCTAACACATCCTCTTCCTGAGCGCTGTCATCCCTCATCCCAGCACCTCCCCTGTGCTCTCATGCCTGCTCTGCTTCCAGGATTTCTCCCACACAGAGAAGCTGCATGAACACCTTCGATGCCATTTATCTCTCTCCTGGTATTTCTCAACATTTTCTAGTCTAAGATCTCTTCCTGTAGTAATTTCAAATGACATCAGGTGGCAATGGGAGGAGGAGGGGAATCCTCCATCCTCAGCCTTTCCATGGTTGCCAATTCCCAAGGCAGTCACACTGGGCCAGCTGACTGCAGCTTCATTTTAGCACAAATGTTAAGAGCATCTGCTTTGGAAGGACTTAGATGTGTTATTGCCAATAGCTTCTTACAGATTTCTCACTGCTCTGGACTGTGCTGCTCTTTTCAGACCCCAGTGGGACTGGTTTTCCCCCTTAAAAAAACCAACCAAACAGAACACTGTCCTTGGGGAAGAGAGTGACAGCAGCACTGCCCTTGAGCTTGGAGCGTGCTAGCTTCAGGATCCCCCCCCAGCCACTTCTAAAGGAAAAAACACATCACCTCCTTCACCAAACAAACGTGGATGTTGGGGTACCTGAGCCAGGGGGAGCCACGTTCCCCTTTCACTTCGGGCGGAGGACTGCTGGCACTGAGCAATGGCTTGGTCAGATGGTTGGGGAGCGCAGAAATTGCAACAGTAGAGGAGAGGCAGTGGAAGCAGTAATGACTGTGCACTGCTGTGATTTTTGCTTTCCTGAAAGGTGACCTGCCATGAGATCTGCCACCTGATGGGGCTGGGGACCTGCCGCTGGCTGCAGTGCATCATGCAGGGCGCGCTGAGCCTGGACGAAGCCTTGCTGCGGCCTCTGGAGCCATGTCCCATCTGCCTGCGGAAGCTGCAGCACGTCGTGGGCTTTAAACTCGTCGATCGCTACAGGGTGAGAGGCAGATCCCACCAGCCCTTCCCGGAGCAAGGGGATGTAGCAGGGACAGACCCGCTCACCCCAAACCGCAGCATTAAGTGTACTCTAGCAGCGTGTTAAACACAAAGGCTCTCAGTGCAAGGTGCTAAGAGAGAAAGAATACTGGAATCACAGAATACCAGGAATAGTGCTAGGACGCCCTCAGCTCTAAGTTTTCTGCTTCTGCCATCCAAAAAGCAGGATTCAGTGGCCAAAGAGCTGCTGGAATAGAAGCAATGTCATCATTCTCACTCAGCACCCTATCTTCTCCATGGTTATAATTCTTGTCTGACACACATGTTCAGAGGCAGCCTTTTCCTCAGCTGCCTGTTTTAAAGTCTGTGGGTTATATTTGTAACAAGACACATGCAGAATGAAAACCAGGGTGCCTCTAGTTTCATTGAACTTGGAGTCAGATGCACAGAAGCACAGCAAAGGATGTGCAGGAAAAGAGATAAAAACCACAGTTGTGCAGTTTTGCTGCTTGCCTGTACATCTGCAGCAGCGTTAGACACGTCTCTGACTCTGGGGCTCCTTGATCCCCACATCTGTCTGAAAGGGGCCTAAATTGCCCAGCCTATCAGAGGAATAACTTCTGGTTTATTTAAACACCCAGCCTGTCAGCATCTAGCTAATGCTTTCTAGAAGAGACCTGGCAGTGGCATTAAGCTTTTCTTTTGCCTTTCCACCTGCAGTAAATACTCTAATTGGCTCAGCATTCCTGGCCACAGTGAACACAAACCTGAATAGAGGATACACTTGCCAAATGTCACATCTGCTTCCTTGACATGGAAAAGCTCAGCTAGATATAGCACAAGCTGGTATAGAAAAGTTGTAATAATCTCTGTAAGAGGCTTTGCTATAGCGTTGAGAGGAATATAAATGTCAGGCCTTAATTAAACAATTAAGGAACCTGACAGAAGAGAGCACAAAGCATTTGGAGACAATATCAGATAGCAAAGTTCCTTGCTAAGCACGTTTTGAGAGTTTGTGGCTGGCCAAGTGCAAGCCTGAAGTCACGTTTCTCTTTGGAAAACTAGCACAGATCCCCACCTGCCACACAACAGCCCCAGACGCTCACAATAAATACAGGAAATGCCAGACACAAAGCTGTTCCTCGCAGGAGCAGGTAATGCTGCCCAAGTCTGCGACTGAGACAGGGTTTTGGGCAGAAGAGCATGCGTGACAGGAAACCAGTCCTTATGCAGGAGGAAGGGCCCTTCAATTTATTTATCTGAGCTGCACTCAGATACATACTCAGTTTTTTCATCACGGCCGCTTGATCCCGCGTGAGTCATCTCAAAAACTGAAAGCAAATCAGTTCTCACAGTGTTTCCCCACCACAACCAACGTTTCCACCTGCGGCTTCTGCAGCACCTCAGGCTGTTCTGCACGTAGTGCCTGGATTAGTTTGCAGTGGTCACATTGTAAAACAAAACAGCACTCGAGTTGCTTCAAGTTGGGTTAGCTACCTCCCCACCGTGGTGTTAGCGGCGACGGTGCAGCTGCATTGCTGCTGGGGTTGACAGCTCTGCTGTGGCAGAGGAGTTTGGAAAACGTCTAGTGCCAAACCTGGAGCCCCTTGAGGTGTCAGGCAACAGGTTTCATTCTCCGTGATTTACTTGAGCATCCAGTTCAAACGCTCCTACTTGCAAGGAAGCTAGAACCATGAAAAGGCTTTCCCTTTCTAATCAAATATGAGAACATAAAGAGGCTGCAGCCCTACAAACCCTTCCTAAATTTGAATCAATAAACCATCCAGAGGGTGGGAGGCAGAAAAGAATTTGGTATTTCAGCAGCAATCTCAAGTCAGTCAGCCCCTCTCCTTTTGCCTTAAATAATCCAAATACCCTCAGCAGCTTTTTCTTTTCTTAGCAATGGTGCTAAGTAGCAGTTGTGATTTTTTCCCCAGATTCACTACTCCTGGGAATTTTAAGAGACTTTATAAAAAAACAGGCTCATCACAGCTTTCAAATAGCTTTGCTGTCCCCTGCCCTCGTCCAGCTTCTGTTGCAGCTTCTGGTGCCTTCTTTGTTTTTTAAATCCAGAGGGAGGGAGAGAAGGGCTATTGGAGGTGGGATGAAGCAGGAGAAAAGTTGTCCCCTTACATTTTTTCTTGCCCCAGAGGGAGGGGGCAGGGTGGATTAACTTAGCTGAAAGAGTCCATTTTATTCCTGTATGAAATTCTTCCCTGAGGCTTCATGCACAGACTGAAATGAGAAACAGGGCTGGTTTCTCCCACCCACTCAATTTGAGCTCTTTATCCTTTCTCTCACTTGCCTGAAAAGAAAGAAATAGAGAAAGGAAGGGGGAGGGAGGAGCAGAAGGGAGCTTCTGCAAGGCTGGGAAGCTCTTGCCCACTTCTCAACCACCACAGCTCACCCAGAGCTGGGCACGTATGGATCCAGCATCTTGAGTTAACACGGACCTGGATCTCAGGTTAATATTCTGTCACCCTTGCATTTCCCAAAGCAATCGCTTTGCAAAGGCAGCAGCTGGGAGCTGCAGAAGGTAAAGATGAAGAAGTAGGCCACAAGGGTGTGAAAAAAGCTGAAAAACACACCAAAAAAATCCCAACACATGCCAACGAGGCAGACAAGGAGATCACCTTTTATCCAGCGACGACTGGAGTACTGCGATTCATTCCCCAAAGCTTAAGGAAGAAAGTGTGCCAGAAGCGACTCGTGATACGCCCCATTGTAGCATTTAATATTTCAAAAGGAAATTGTCTCAGACATTTTCCTTTCATTAATTCTTTCCTGGAGCCCAGCCTTCCCACTTGTACATTTCAGCTCGAGAGTGGAAGAGCTATTCTTAGGAATAAAACACACATTACCGCAGGAGTTAACAACATGATGAAACAAGATTCTTTGCTGCTATCTCAGGAGCTTTTATAATGACAGTTTCCTCGAGAGAGAGACCGGTTGGGCTCTCATTGGAGATCACATCCACACAGCAGAGAGTGATTTTGTGATTTCTTCCTACCATTTTCAGGAATAAAGCAGGTAGAGTCCACATCTGGCTAGGGGCAGCTCTGCCACAGACAGTGACTTCAAGAAAATGAGGCAAGAGAAAGCCCCTGCTACGTAGGGTAACCATGAGCTATCTGAATGCATCTTCCGGCAGAGAGGAACGTAGCATCTGAAACTGTGCCCGTTGAGATCAATAGGTTTACCTGACAAACACTGGCAACGGCATGTTTCCTCTCATTCTCTAAAATTAAATCTCTTATTCCTCTCATAACAGAAGCTCTACACTTGGACACAGACTGTACTGTCCACGTGGCCAAGGCAAGAGTCAGCAGACCTGTCCGCCTCAGAGGACATCCTTCCCTTCAGCTCAGACTCTGGGATGTGCTGCGAGAACGACTCCGAGGCTGTGACTTCCTTGTCCGAGCCGCTGACACCGGACACGTGCAGCCAGGCCCTCTCCATCGGCCAGGAGCTGGAACAGGAAGAACACTCATGTTTGCTGGCAGAGGTGCAGGGCCAGCCCCAGCTCGCCGGGCCCACCAAGTCCACAGACATCATTAAAGATTATGAGCTGTGGCTGGAGACGTGCATTGCTGCCCTAGAGAGGAACGTGTCCGAGGAGGAACTGGCTCAAGTAGACAAGACTGTGGATGCCCTGGCTAAATGGGAAATGTTTACAGGACAACTGCCTGCCATGAAGAAGGACCTACCCTTTGCTAGGGACAACACCGGGCTACGGAAAGTTCTTGGAGACAAATTTTCCTCCTTGCGGAGGAAACTGAGTTCCAGAAAACTGTCTAAAGGGGAATCGTCCCCTCATCGTTGGCGGTGGGAGGAAAACTAGGCTGGATCTGCCATGGGTTGGGCCAGCTTTGCTCCCATAGCTTTGGTTACATGACTGGCCTGCTTCTGACCTTTCTCCACACAAGTTGTTGCTGTCAGAGAGAAACAGCAACTCCCCACGGGAATAAAAGGTGTTTCTTTTTCTGAGATTGGTAACATATTTTTGATGCCATCAGTTCTTCTCTAAAGGTTTTTCCTGTCCTGGTTTAAGTGACATCACTACTCCAAACCCACATCAAATCCTACGTAGGGAATGGTATTTTCTTGCCATATATCATTTGGTCTGAAGTCAGCCAGGACGAGGTCCATGCTAAATGTGAAACATGTTCACACAGAAGCTTGGGCCATCTGAACAAACAGATGCAAATTAAACCAGGGCAGCTCTCCCGGTACGCTGAGCTCTCCTCTGCTTAGCATTTCACAGTCTAAAGCACAGATTATATTTCTCCCTCTCCTCTCTCCCCCTGTACCAAACGTTCATCTCTGTTCTGGTCGCTGCCCCATCAGCTGGAGGTTGAGCCGAGCGCAGGAGCACAACAGAGGCTGATGGAATCACGCTACGGGTAGGGGGGAGGGATGGAGGAGGACAGGCACACAGTGAGCAAGTGAGGAAGGCAGAAAGATCCCTGGCAACTTCTCTGCCATAGAGAACAGCGTTAGTGTGACGACTGCCTGCTGGCAGACACTCAAGGGGATCTCCAGAGCTGCTTCAGTTCAAATGAAGCCAGGCTTGGAGCCGTGAGCTGTAACTACTCACATCCTCTGGAGACTGGCACAGGGGAGAAAACCTTTGAGAACATTCACACTCATCGATTATTAAAAGGGCAAACTACATGTGCATTCCTCTCTGTCTTGAGAAATGAAACCATGGCCCTTCTCTGCCTCGTTAAGTCACCCGCTGAACAGGACGGGTGCTGTCCTGGCACCGGGAGCTGCAGAGCCTGCCTGTCCATCGCTGGGGCATGTCGTTCTTCTCCAGCTATTTATAGACAGAGCTCAAGAGGCTGATGGGTTGTGGAGCTCTGTAACAGCAACACGCAGGGGCAAGGCTGACTCTCTCCATCCCCAGTTCACTCAGACCTCGGCACTGATCACACTGTGTGGCTCACAGCTGCACGGCCACACTTCGTATTTCTCCCGTCTAAAAATATCTGCAGGTAGAACTGGGTCCAGCTCAGCTGGGAGGAGAGAGACTTTCCCAAGTGCTTGCGCTGTGCCCTTTGAGGGTTTCAAACTATGAAGTAACCCTGCAATGCATTTCTGGAGCGGGAAAGGGAGGATCAGTGGCAGACGTTTGAGAAAAGCCTGAGATTTATGCGTGCAGGTGAGTAGAAAAGATGATGTCGTAATAAATTCAACTGGATTCCAGAAACACAGGCGACTTCGCATCTGCATGATTCATACAGGGAGAAAAAGGATGTTCTGGCTTCGGGATTGATGACGGCAATTCCTGGAAACATTTTTTCCAGGCTGTGCGCTGGCCTGGGCGCAGGCGCAGAACGGCGGAGCCGCTGCTGCCGCCCTCTCCTGGCAGCCTCGTTGGGGATGGGCTTCTCATCCCAGACCTTCCCAGCAGCAGAAATTTTCCAAACAAATCCTGCCTGTATTACAAATCCATGTACTGCTCCATGCCTGGTCAGTCGCTGCCTTAACAGATTTACTATTTTAAGCAGGAGATTACTTTTTGTTCAGCCTTGTTTGCGCCTACTCAATTCTGTACTGAATCATTTGGCTGAACTTTAGAAAACTTTGCAGAAAGACGCCATAAACTCAGGGTGACAATATTGCCTAAGGGAAAGACGCAGCTCTCTATCATAGTGAAGTCCAAAGACAACAGAAGAAAGGGGTGGCACAGAAACAAACCGAACGGCTGGCAGAAGGCACAGATAGGAAACTCCCTACATGATGCTTGCCTTGAAGACTCGCATTAGCCCTTGTGAAAATATGAACTTCTGCTGAAGAGCTGTTGCTAACCACTAACAGACATTTTTGACACCATCACCAGCAGGACCACCACTTACCAGCTCAGCTTGTCCAGAAGGGCTCCAGGTAAGAAGCAAGTGAGCGTGGCAACTCGGAGCTTCACCTACTCGCAAGGGCAGCTCAGCGAGGCCCATTGGCAAGATGCAGCTTTGCAGCGAAAGGCAGAAAGTGGCGGAATGCACTTCTAAGTCCTTAGGCTGCTGGCAAAGAGAAGGTCCGGGCAATATTACACTGCAGGCGTTTGATGGCTACTCTTCACATCAGCAAAGATTTCCAGTGCTGCTGCTGTACGTTACAGCACAGAGCATAACGTTTAGTTCCCAGGGTCTGTAAACAGTACTTTGCACATACACTGCACAGTCTGCACCACGGTGAGTAAGGACTGGAGGCAACCTGGGTCACAGAGGAATAAAATGACTGGCCACAGTTGCACAGAAAATCAAAGTTATAATCAGGACTAAAGCACAAAGGTGCAATTGTAGGAATTCAGGAAAATTGTAGGAAACTCCCTGTATGTACTGAAGTCCTAGAGGGGCAGAAAATGGTCGATAAAGGAATTGGAAGTAAAACAAATTGAAGGTAAGGCTCTAAATAAGATCGCCTGCATTTTAAACAGCAGATTTCTGGGAAAATACATCTACTTGGAAGAGTGTGGGAACAGCAGCATAACTTGCAGCTAATGAGCTGCTGAGTAAGCTGTGGAACAGAAATACAGATGAGATGCTTAAGAGTCATTTTAGAAGGTCAAGCTGTGAAGGATACTGTCTACATAAAAGCATACCCAGAAGTTACTTGCAACTCAGCAGTCAAGATCGGAGTTGCTTACAAATGGTCCAGGACCAGTTTCTCTGTGTAGCAGCCAGCGGGCAGGAGAACCTGTGCAGCACTTCAGCCACAGTTTGCTGAGCCTTCTGCAGAAACACAGGCAGCAAAAAGAACTGGGCACCCAGATGGGACAGGAGGCAAGTACCAAAGGGTGGTGGCAGCACCAGCAGCCTGGCACAGAGCGCCCCCGGGCACAGCTTCGGGGGTCGTGCTGGCAGCCTCCCTCTGCAGCCCAGGGAAGGCAGCGCTTTTCTTTCTCTGGCTCGTGACCTGTGGATGTGCTGTGACAGGCAGATGATCCAAGAAATGAACTCTGCACATGACCTGCCCTCAGGGTATCCCCCAGCAGAACCAGGTAACTCCTCCCTGAAGCTGCTGTTATCTTCCAAGTAACAACCCCTAAGGCAATGGTACAATGCAGATTCACATTGACTTACCTGGCTCAGAACATGTCCCAGACCACACCATCCTGTGGCTACCTAGAGCATCCTCTGCAGTCAGAGCAAATCCAGTCAAACACTTTCTGTCCCAAGCTCAAGGATTTTGTTGTTATGAAGCAATTTCTAAAGCCTGTAATCCCGAACAGAGCAGAAAACAGTCTTTTAATAGCTTTACGACCTCATAAAGACAAATATCTTCTAAGAATAAACACGCAGAACATTCCACTCCTACTCTTAAAACAAGCTGCTGTGACTGAAGTGAGTGGGGGGTCCAATGCAACTGTTCATGAAACAAAACCCAGAAAAACAACCACCACAAACAACAAAAAAAATCCTGTACTTTGCTAGTTAGGGGTGAAATTGCCTACAACAGCTTGCAAAGGTAGGAGAGGAGAAACCAGTGTCTTCCACAGACATTTCATTAGCAGTATCCACCACTTTCCAGTTTAACTGTGGATGTGGCCACCTCCCTCCCCCCAAAACAGTCTGTTCCTGTTGTGCAAAATTGAGGCTTTAAAGAAAAGCTGCTTTTTGTAACAAACCCTGAACACTCCTTCCTAACAACTCTTCCTCCCTTAACACCACATAGCTTCCCAAGATGTTGGTCAGTCTTGGGGAGAGTAGCAAGAAATTTGGTAACTGGTGTTAGTAACTGAATAAACTTCCTCCCATGGATGCACAGGATAACGAGACACCAGATTGCAGTTAGAAACCACAAGGATTTAATTTCTCTCCTCAGAGAGGTGTAATGAATACTTCAGTATTACTACAACCACCCCAAACCTTACCCCTTGTATGCTTTAACAAAAAAGTATGAGCTATATAGCCCTGCCTGTTTTGCACTTCAGAGAAGCCTCTCCCTGGGGAAATAGCCATGTTTTCCCTTTTATCTTTGGCATGCTGGATTATTAAAACTGCAAAAAGCCCCATACTCTAGTAACAGGTGGCCATTCTGTTCTGGGGAAGAGAATTCAAAGCTAATGTATTTTTTGGCTCTCCCAGGAGAACATGCATTCATCAGCACCGAACAGACCTACCTGCAGAACTGACTGCTCCAGCTTCTGTTCTTATGAGGCAACATCTGAGCAACTGAATTATGAAAAGGACATCTTTGCTGTGTGCAGTGAGATAGTTTGAGATACAGAAACATTGGCTAGCATGGAAAAATCATGTGACTAAGATACACCGGTTCAAGCCTTCCACGCTATGTTCCAAGTAAAAACTTAAATCCCACTGAAACTGGTGCAGCTTAAGCACCTGCTCGTGACTGTTGCCTAGGGAAGGACAGAGCCTGGGCAGGCCCTCCAGTGACAGCACATTTCTTATTTTGATTAAAGTTTTGCAGATTCAGCAATTCAGACATCAGGGAAACTCAATCGGTATAATCCAAAACAACTCCAACCAGCTTTAGAGCAGGCAGAAGTGACAACTTAATAAACAACTCCCTTCCCTGCCTATTGGTCAAATGTTCTCAGCAGCCTGGCATGGCTCATGACAGCACCAAGGTGTTCAGCTGATACTGCCAGAAAGAGCTCTTTCTTGCTCTGATGAGAAAGCTGTTCAACTTTTTCCTGTAAGTTTATCTTTGACACTGGGAGAGAAGCAAGCACAGTTCCCATGGCTGTTATCTGACACTACACAGCCCAAGAGGAATCCAGGTGGCCAGGAAGGCCAATGGCATCCTGGCTTGTATTAGAGATAGTGTGACCGGCAGGTGGTGGGGCCACACCTTGAGTATTGGTGTCATTTTGGAAACCTCAGTACAAGAGAGATCTCGAGGTGCTGGAGTGAGTGCAGAGGAGGGCAACGAAGTTGGTGAAGGGCCTGGAGAACAGACCTTGTGAGGAGCGACTGAAGCAGCTGGGGCAGTTTAGTTTGAAGACGAGGAGGCTG